TTGGTAGGCGTCCCGGGCCTACTCGGCTGAATGTGTCGTCACTTCTAACACTGCTTTAAGCGACTCAAGGTGGCTAAGTTATAATTCAATTCAAGAAAGCATTATTTACGAAAAATTCACCAACAAATAAGGCCAAGAAATGTGACCTCCTGCAATCCTACTTCCTTCTTATACCTATTTCTGTGATTGCAATGAAGCCTTCCAATATTTAGTCGGCTTCATTGAAGTCCAGGGTTACCTCATGAATCAAAAATTACGTTTTTTTTTTACTCAAGTGTATCAATTTAGAGAATTAATGGTTTTTTTGTAAGTGAAGGTTGATTGTTCTGACGATGCCTGTTATAAAATGTAAGTTAGGAGAGGTCTGGGCTGCGTTGACTGCCGTATCTGCCCCGAGGCTAACTAGCACCAGTTGTTGTGTAGTGATTTGCTAAACGTCGCTAAGATACTTACGAATCGATACCGAATCTGGCTGGACTGCTGATGGCAGTCCAGTCCAACCGGGATAAGAAAAACTTTTTGCAATCAAGGCTATATAAAATTCAATGAAAACACGAGGCCTACTCATATCATTGAGGGAAAACTCATCTACTTAAATGCTAGCTAGAATGGAAACCATTCAACCCGAAGAGCAGTAAACTCACTCCAACGAGGGAAAAGAGAAGGGAAGATTACCTTTTTTGAGTCGAGAACATGTGGCGAGCAGTCGAGTACCTTTTCGACACAGGAGGCGTCTGCAAATGTGACGAAGCCGAAGCCTCTGTAGCATTGGGGAGGAAGAAGAAAGGAAATTACATAAAATCGATATACTGTCAAAACCTGTTACAAAGTGATGAAAAATCCTTGCTCTGAATTTTCGGTGGCTAAGTAGGTTTTTGTGACGATAAATAAATAATGCAATCGATTGCTATAGTAAATACAACTTTGCATCATCAACAATCCCACCACAGAACTTGATATGGGAGAATGCTTAGACCTGCCTGAAATTCACACCCACCCTGTCACCAAATGGCACTCGAGGCAGTGTCGAGATTATACGTCTAACCATGACAACAAGAGTTCGAGACCCGCTAGGGGCGCTGATAAGACCAGCTCGTGCTAGGTCGAAATTGCAGTTCACTCCTGTCTTGATTAAAATACCATTTTGGAAGCAAGGCTATGTGAAATTCTATTGAAACATAAGGTCTATTCATAGCATTGTTGTAAAACTGAACTACCAGTTACTTTATCGCCTTAAGCAAAATAGAATTAATACATCTTATGCATGTCATGCATGCCTTCTCTGAAGCCCAGGAAATAGAGTGGCATCGGTGAATTATGCGGATACCATTCCACCACAAATAAAGGTTCCAATGATAAACACACTGAAAACAGTGGTTCTATTCAAGCTTACCCGCAAACAGCAGATATAGAGACTGAGATGGTGTGGTCTTGGTATAGGTTCCAACCTCCAACCCAGCCTCGAAAACCCACTTTATCTGAATATAAATTATCTAAAAGCCGAAGGATAGTGAGATGGAGAGAGAAAGATCGAAGCAGCCTTCAGCTTTTAATCCATGGGTAGGATCAACCTAACACTTTGCACACGATTTCTGTAAACACATAACCATGCCGCGTAACCTCCTGGCTGATCAACTTGAGTAAAAGAGATAAAAGACAAGGCTTGGCTGACTGGTTGCGAGAAACGAGGACTTAAGAAGGCAGGTGGAAATGTTTCCTAAATTGCCCTAATCAAAAGTAAGTGGGATTTCGGCCTACCATCTTTCTTGATTTTGTGTTCCGGCAAGCTTTGCAAATGATAGTTTCTGGCTCTGAAGACGTCTGTAGTAGCAGAGAGACGAAAGTTGAGCACTGCTGGATCAAGGAAGCAGTAGCATGTATCAGAAACTTCTTTAAAAAAATCTACAGTCTCGACTATGATGCAATCCTTCTTCGGCTTCTGATACGGAAAATTTACCAATTCCTTCTACACATCATTTCAAACGAAATGAAAGACACAACAACATGAATCTATTAAGGGTGTCTTCGATACCCAGTTTCTTTTATTCACTAAAGGCGGCTCGAAGCGGGTCACACGCATGAGGGAACGAAGTAAGGGACCTTTCGATAATACCGAATTGTCTGAGGTGGGCAGAAAAAATGGCGCTATTTAGACAAGTTGGGAGAATCAAAACCTGCATTATCTTCAGTCGTTTAGGCTGTTGTAAGGACTAAAGAAAAATTGAATTTTGAAGAATTTCTTACTGATTTATTATGAGACGACTTTCCTTTTTGAAGGAAAAGTCGGTTGGAAGAAATTCGTGAAATGATCTCACCGGAAACCAAAGGAGGATTTCTGCGGAGTCTAGACTGTTGGATTGTACGATGAGCCGAGGATTTTTTTGTATAATCCGACAGTCTTCATTTCGCGGCATCCCACTTTTAGCTTCGGGTGAGGCCATTACACAAATTGCTTCCAATCAACTTTTCCTTCGAAATAGAACGTTATGCTGTAAGGAATGAAAGTTGAATTTCCCATAGTGAAAAAAGAAGAGCACCTCAAGGCGTTTTCGTTCGAGTCGGACGCCAACTTAGACATCTTCCGGGCTTCACCAGCACTCCATTGGGAGTCTAGGCCCGATCATGAGTGCCAAATGGAAACGCGCAGGCGCATCGCCGCACTGTTACCTGTGACGTGTCGTCATAGGCCTACTGTGCATGACTGGCAGCCTTGACACCAATGAATCAATGGGAAGCAAAACTCGGCAAAATGAATTAGTCACACTGTTGCAGAGCTAAGCCCATCACAGTTGGAGACCAACACGTCCAAAAACCTTCTCGGTCAAATCGATGCTTCAAGAAATAATAATCACGGCAGAAACAAGGCAAACTAGCTTCGATTCAGCACAAATTGAAACTATTCATCCTTTCCGTCAAGGCTTTTGTGTGAAACGAAAAATAGGTAGAAAGACCCGAAATTCGATTCTCACTCCGAGCAACAACACTCTAACAGGTAACACTAGCTGTAAACGGTTTACAAAACCATCGAGAATCCTCTGGTTCATATAACGAGAGAAGGTAGGAAGAAAGTGCAAAAAGCAGGTCTTGTGCGTATATAAAAATACAGAATCGTGGCCCAGGGCCATCGGAAAAGGGAGAGGCAGAAAAGATCGGATGTCAAGGCTGAGAGCAGATCCTGGCATATGGTAAACTTTGCAGAGACTGACTTATTTATAAATGATCAGATGTAGCTACATAAAACCGTTTTTTGGGAAGAC